GCTCGCTGAGCCTAGTTCCTTATCTTAATAGGAATATGAGCATCAATTTAATGCAGAGCCATCATAATTAAATACCGTGTATCAGTAGAGCTCAGTGTCTGGTACATAGTAGGCATGCATGTATGTATTGTGCTCACATTCACTACTCTCTACTCTGTACTTGATCGTGCACGTCCTTTTAATCTACCAAATCTTTCTACCACATGAGGATCTTTAAAACATTATTATACTAGCTACTCATAAATCTTCTCCCACGGAGCCCATCCTGGAGACAAAGAGAACAGGGCCACTGACGCTAATCATGGTCCTGTGACATAAGGTAAACTGTGAAAGAGCCTGGTCCTAGGACACAGAGTGAGGGCACATGTGGATGCTTGCTGTGTACTCAGCCCTTTCCCCTTTCTCCTTCCCCTCCATGGAAGTCAGCACTCAAAGCTCTGTGACAAGCTCTGGTGCCATCAACACTTCTGGAAGTCTATTGTATTGGCTTTTAGTAAATAAAATAACTAAATGTGTTTAGTGAGTGTATCTACACACATGTACAAGACAGGTTTTTAAAATTTAAATGTTATATTGTTGACACTATTTCAAATGTCTCCCATTTCCTCCCCATTTTGCCCACCTCCACTCAGCCCCCCAGCCGTGGCCCTCACCTTGTTGTCTGTGTCCATGGGTTATGCATATGTTTTTGGATAATTTCTTTACCTTCCTTTATCCAGCCCCCACCTTCTCTCCCCTCCCTCTGGCATTTGTCAATCTGTTCTATGTATTCCTGCCTCTGGTTCTATTTTGTTCATCAGTTTATTTTGTTCATTAGATTCTTTTTGAAATTAGAAAATATTTTTATACATACTTTTGAAAACAAATTGTCTTTCATGCCATCATATAACCGACACACTTGAGGGCACGTATGGACAGCATAAACCTTCCCTAACAAAGCCTAAATTTTTATTTTATGACAAGTAAAGAAAAGATTATACTATAGACTAGAGAACTTTTTTGCTTATGTTGCATTAACTCCGATTTCATTTGCTTTATCATCAGTATATGAGATGTGAGCACACATGGGCCAATTTAGGAGTCTTGTTTTAGGATTTTTTTGGCCAACATCAGGCCAGTCTTTAATTGTTACTAAGAAGTGAGCAAGTTATTTAAGTTTCAGAAGACTAAATAACTTCTAAGGTCATATCTATTTCTAAAGTTATATGATTTTTTGGTTTTTAATTTTTTAAGACTTTACTTTTTAGAGCAGATTTAGATTCATAGTACATTATGTTAGGTATTTGTTTATTTCAGGTCTGTACTTCAGTGAACAGGGGAGTGGGGACTGGTGAGTAGTATGGCTAATTCTTCAGTGTTGTCTAAGAGTTTAGGCACCTGGAAATATTTTATGTACATATCAAAAATGAGAATGTACTTCTTTCTCTATAATTTTAAAAGGGGTAGATCAAGGGTAGAATTAATAAATGGGTGATAGTTTTGAGTCTTAAGGAAGGAAAGACACCAGGATTTCAAAATACCTATTTTCCGTATGTTTACCAAATCCCTAATCCTATTGACAAACTCAGAGGCGAACTTCTTTCTAGTTTTATAGCAACAGAATGAAGCACAGAAGATCAAAAAGTTTTTTGCAAGATTGGATTTAGAAAGTAAGCCCCAACCCGTGGTTCCTCTTCAGTGAGCTGGTTCATAAGATCACTTGTCATGCTGAAATTTGTGGTGCGTGATATTCAGAGGCAGCAGCTGCTTTGTGCCACTAATGCTCTTAGTATCATAGGATTGGGGTTCTTTGCTCAGTAATGTGTAAACTTTCTTCTAATTAATTGCATCTCCTTTTCCTTCTGGTCTGGTGATGATAAAGCATGGAAAAGTTTCTGATTCCCAATGAGGTTTCTGTAAGAGGGTTTGGTTTGCCTTTGGATTTTCCTCCTTTAGTTTTTCCCAATATTTCTGGCTTCTTATTGCAGAAAGAATCAGGATAGAAAAATAGGGTAGAAGATGATAAACAAATAGGAGAAGGATGGCCCACGGCAGAAGGATTTTCTTGACTCCAGGATCAATCCACTTCGGAAAAACATAAGATTCAATAGCACACTTTAAGCCTTCTTCTATTCCCCTTTATCAAGTAGTGCTGGCTCAGACTCACTCAGCAAGAAGTTGGCAAGAAAAGGACATAGTGCATAACCTGCCTTTTGCTGTGAAATTTGCTACTGACATGCTAGAAATAATCTTACTATTACCAAAAGGAGACAATCAATATATTAGACAAACACAACTTCTGGGTAATTCAAGTACTTCTTGCTGAGCACAGGGGAGAAGCAGCCCCCTCAACCCGGGCGGGAGGAGGTCACTGTTTCAGCCCATGGGACCCAGGGTTGGTGACTAAGCACCTCTTTCCACACGTGAAACTAGAGACCAGCATGGCATTGACTCTGCTGTGACTGTTACCAGAGTACTGATGTCCTCATCACATATCTCCATACACTCATACATACCAAACACATGCATTAACATCTATATGCATACATACATCAACATGCATATGTATGCATAAAACACACATTAACATACATACACACACACACACAATGTCAACGCTTTATTTATGAGCCCACCTCCACCCTCATTCTTTCCCCACCAGTCCCCATAAGTACTCCAATTCTTAAAAGAAGCAATTTTTTCCTAAAGCATACCCCAGATGCTTTTTAAAAAAAGTTTGTTGTTGTTATGTTTGTTTGTTTATTTGTTTTCCTTTAAGTGAAAGATAATGTTGTTTAATCTTCTCCAGAAAAGTCATGTCACCAGGAAATACAATTTCAGGTCTCTAGGCAAATTTGAATGTAGCATCTCCCCAATTATAGGAAGCAGCAATATTCTTAAATCCCTTCTAATACTTCAGTTATTTTGGTTTTCTTTTTTATAATGTTCTTTGTTTTGAAAATTGCTTTAGTATAGCATTTCAGAGTCATTTTCTACCATAGGTGTTTTTTTGTGTGTGTGTATATATATTCAATTCATTAAAACCCACACACATTTTAAGCCAAATTATATATAGTAACAGAATGATCTTCTATGAATCTTAACTACCAAATCTGATTTTTTTTATGATAAGCAAATTGTAGGATACAATTAAAATATGCTTATATATATTTTCTTCCATATACAAAATAATATATATTTTGCATGCATTATTGTACTTTTGACAGTGAGACTGATAAGGCATCTTAATACTGAGGTGCAAAGACAAGATTTTAGAATTATATATTCAGTACATACTCAAAGATAATGTAAGCATAACATAATTTTGAAAAGAAAAGAATATATTAATAGTATATAATCTGCCCTTTAGTGAGAATATTTGTCACTAAAATGCTAGAAATAATTTTACTGTTACTAAAATGAGACAATTGAGATATTTGGGCAAAAAAAAACAATTTCTGAGTAATGAAAAAGAGTAAAATATCTTCACTAAAATTATAACTGTCTCTATGCTTTGACAAAAAAAGAAAGCAAGACCGATAAATTATTTTAAATATAATGTATTCTAAATACATCTATAGTGCTAGGAATGAAATACAACCAAAGAAAGAATTAAGTATTTTAAAATACATTCACACCCTTTGGGCTTAGAGTGATTCAAACCAATGTTATTCATGTAAAAAAAAATTAGAAAATTTATTTCCAGAGATTAATTCCCATGGATGATGTGCCTTGGTCAAGATGACTTAATTCTTAGAAAATAAACTTTGCAGTCAGGCAATTGCAAAGAATAAAATGGAAGAAAACAGTGTGCTTTGGGAAAATATCTAGATTTCATATTACCCTAATTTTGGCTATCTGAATAAACTCTACCAAAAGCAGGTGCCCCTGGAAAAAAAATGTTAATTCTGAAACTAAGGGGGTGCAAAATAAGACAAGTTTCCTTTAAATTGTGTTCCAACCTTTTTCTGCTTTTTCTTTTCCCACACTCTGAATTTCAAGATCTCTGTGTAATTTGATGACGACCATAACAACTGGCCCAATTATTGCTAATGACCCGTTCACTAACGTCACCCCTATGCTGAAGCTTACTTCCTGAGAGCTGTTTTCGGTCACTTAGGTCCTTCTCAGAGTCTGTGAGTGACTGAACAGTTCCGTTGCAGGGTTCTAAGTAAGGGTCACGACCAGCTTTCTGTGTCGAATAACTGTCTTCACTTTTGATTAAAGAGCTTCAGCCAGCCAGGTCAAGAACTGTCCCATGGAGATTTTGGGAATCCTTCTCACCAATTATTCACTCTAAGCAATGCCGCAGAAGAACTCGGGGCCCTGGTTTCACACTTTCCTCCACGTTGCACAATTCTCCTAGCCTTTCCCTGTCCCTGTGGGGCACGTCATGCTGACACCTTGCTCTTGCATCCCAGGCTCGGTGTAGCTAGGGTTGCTGCAGCAACAGCACACACGGGGTAACATTCCCCTGTAATTACAGCGGCTGGACTTGAGTCAGTTGAGAAGTTGCCCTGGGTTTTTATTAGCGTATGATGCAGTCCCATGTCATCTACAGTTCCCAGCCCATTCAAGCCTCACACACCATGATGCCGAACACGCGATGCTCATCCCCTTCACATGGTAGATGGACCAGGGGCCTCTCCCCAAAGCCACTGCAGTTGCTGGCTCCTTCCACAGTACTCTTTCCTGATATCTACAGCAAGCAAAGCTCAGGCCCCACTGCGTAAACTCTGTTTCTACTAATGCATATCCTGTGTGCTTAATAAGCAACAGTGACCTTGGCTGATGGTCAAGAAGCTCCTCTTCTTACCCAGGGAACTGGACATTAGTTAGCATCCCGGAAGACATACTTTCATCCCAGTGGCTGGGAAGAACTTGTGCTGAAGCATAAGGATGGAATTACTGTAATTCTCTATGGGAATTTATGAAAGTGGACCTTTATCATTCGATATTGATCAAACGTGGTCCAAGAGTTAGTTGATAATCGCTAACACTGGATTTGCTTTATTTTCCAGACACGGAGATGACTTGATTGTGACTCCATTTGCTCAGGTAAGCACAGTTTGGTGCATGGGCAGGTTTCTCATTCAAAGTTTAATTTGGGGGATTCGTTCTGGTTCTAAATCTGCAAGCAAGCACAAGTACAGATACAAAATCTATGGTTCATGCAAGTAATTCAAAGGCAATTCTAGAACATGTGACCTTGGCCATATTGGTCCGTTTCCTATAAACCCATACACCTGAAGAGTTTCTTTGCTCCAAATTACAGATTACCTAAGTGACATTTAAATGGGACCATGCTTTCTTAACTGACATAGCACTAAAAGCAGAAGGCTATACCATGGATTAAATCACATTTAGTATAATTGGGTACGTGATCAGTGCTTGAAATTGAATATTCCAATTCAGCCTCATGCTTTATTTACTCCTTTTTTTTTACATGTCATTTGTACAAAGATTTAACTGAGTGATGTATTTGTATTTATTTGTTCCTTTTAGATACACACATCATGAAAATACTTTAACCACATGACATAAATACTAGAAGATGATAAAATGATCTAAAGCATTTTGAAATATATATAAAATGGTTGATGACCAGATTTTTCTTTTATATAGACCAATGATCCTCAACCATAGCTATGCATTAGAATCACCTAGAAAGCTTTTATTCTAATCTGCAATTGAATTAAAAAATCTGGGCCCAGTGCTTTTCCAGAGAAAGATGAGAGCCTCTGGTGTAGACAGACTTAGGACAAAACTGATTTAACTTGGGGCATGAGACAGGTTTCAAGCCAATGTTGACTATTAACAAGACATGTTAAATATTGGAATATAGGTAATCCAGAGAGATTATAAAAAAAATAATTATGTCAGACTAGCTCTAGTGCCTTGGGCAACTAATTAAACTTTCTAAGACTTCTTTTTACCAGTTGGTAAAATTGGAGGGAAAGGCTATATAATGATAAGCCTGAGTTCAAACCCCAGCTCCTCCTCCTGCTAAGTGAATAGCCTTGGGCTAGTCACTGAATTCTTCCAAGCTGGGTTTCCTCCTAAATGACAGTGCCAGTGCCAAGAGCACCCACCTCATAGGGTTGCTAAGAGATTGAAAGAATACCAAGCTTATAAAATAGCATAATTTCTACAAAATAAAATGCTTAATGAATTTTTAGTGTTATTAGTAAGGGCTTTTTCACTCACAAAATGTCACACTGGTGTGTTTTTTTAAAATGTATAATGACAGTGTTTGGATAGTAGAATTAAGTATAATGCTTTCACTTTTTCAAGTTTTCTGAAATTGTTTTAATTGTTATAATTTAGATGAAACATTTAATGAATCCATAAATAATACAACTGTATAATAGTGGTTTTTAAATTAATGAAGGCAATTAAAAGTATAATAAAACCTCCATCCCTTTCAGGCAGTTCGTGTCTTATTTGCTTAAGGTTTTATGGAACTCATAAATTATTTCTAGTAACTGTATTTCTATGCTCAAAATAATGTATGCTCAAATGTTTTAATCATGTTTTGTGATAGCAAAATTATCAAAAGCTAAAGATTTTTAATTGCCTATTAATGAGAACCCATTATTTTTTTTAAGAGCTGAGAAGGGAGTGAAAAGATAAAATCAGACAAAATATATAAATAACCATCACCAAATATAGAAACAATCTTCCAACATGAGCTTGTGTAGGTAGCTATTCCTGCTTCTAACTAAAATCTCTAGGTATTGAATATATCTAAATATATGATAAAAAATGAAAAAATATTTCATACATGATACTTTCTTACTTCAAGTAGTATTTATTAATGTCTAATATATATTAATAAATCTGACTTGGTCTTTATCATTAGTGTTCTTAAATTCTAAGGAAATCTTTTCTTTTAAATAATCAGATATTTTCTATAGTGTACCTCTATAATCTCTAAAAAACTAATAGAATCTTAGTACACTAAGAAATATATATGTGTGTGTAAAATATCACTTAGTCTGTGTTAGTAAACTGTTTAAATAAATGTGTACTTAATACCCTCAGAAATTAGAACTTTGAAGATAAACCAACTCTGTGTAATATATAGGCATATCTGATGCCTGAAAGTAATCCAGAATGTATTTAGAAGAGTTTGCTTATGATTAGCTTGATGATTCATATCACCTTGAAGAAGGTGGTCATTGCCCCAAAGATTGCAGATTCTTTTTTAAGTGGCTTCATCATAGTTTTTGAAAATGGAATTTTCTAGGGTATGGAGTATAGAAAGTTCCAGTAGAGTTTAAAAAATAAATAAATAACATGTGAAAAACCCTGATCAATTTCACCATTAATAGAGCATCTTTGGGAAACCAGATAAGAAAGAAGGGTTAGCAGCAGTCTTATCTTAAGCCTATTAGGCATAACTACCTTATTTTGTTGATCTACTCAATTTTCAATACAAGATAGAATAGTCACCATTGAACGCTAAATATTATAACGCTAAGATGTTTATGTCACTTGAGGTGATGCCATTATTATTCAGCCTAATATATCACAGTGCTTTTGCCAATGGACAGAAGTCAGTTGATGTTAGACAAGTCATTCAGAGACATGTTCAAATAGACCAAAGAATTCTCCACTTTCCCCAGCATGCTTTGGGGTTTGGAATGTCATACTAAATTCTTGTGAAAAAGCCATACTACCTTCAAAATAATCTAATTTTGCATAGAGAGTGTAGAAAAGATATATAGGCAAAAGGGAGAAAAGAAAATTTCCCATAATTCCAAACCCCAAAATAACTAGTATTGACATTTTATTTTATATTTCTTTAGGCTTATTTTTCTGTGCATATATTTTTTTTACCACAATTCTTCTTCTTGTTGTTTATTGGCTTGTTAATCCCCACCCAAGAATATTTTCTCTATTGCTTTTTAGAGAAAAAGTGGGAAGGAGGGTGGAAGGGAGGGGGGAGACCGAGAGAGAGAGAAACATCAATGTGAGAGAGACCCAACTGAGGGTATGTGTCCTTGACCAGGAATCAAACGGAGGCCCTTCAGTGTGTGGGCCAATGCTCCAACCACTGAACCACCCACCAAGGCTTTACCCTAAGTCTTTAAAATGAGCCTCTCACTATCTCACATGGACAAAGGTCTTCTCCCAAACCCATCTCATCTTCTACTCTTCTTTAGAATTCATTTCTTCTATGCCTGAATGTGTCTCCAAAACACAAAAGGATCTTTCCACTTTTCCTCCAGTTGTGGTTTCCTGTGTCACTAAGAAAATAAACTCCTAAATTATAAGAGAATTTAGGAAGTCATACAAGGATATATCCCATGTTCATGGGCAGGGCTGAAGCCCAAATCATTTTGAATGGACATCATCATCAGAAAGGATCTTACAGTAACCCTCCCACGTCCACAATACTGCCAGTTAGAAATTTTTGCTGGTGTGTTTAAACTAAACTCTCTTCCACTCTCAATTTATTATGTTTCTAGAAGCCCAATGCACAAAATTTGGGCAAGGGCCTGGTCCTTGCCCCTGCCTGCTGCCATCACTATGGCCCCCACCTGCTGTGGCTTTGTCCAGAAGGAAGGTCATCCAATCTAATCAGCATATTATACTTTTATTATTATAAAGTCCCTTGTAAGCTCAGCATCCTCTTTATCTTCTGAAAAAGTGACAGCTTTAAACGTTTGATTTATTTCCATTTTGAAGTATTCTCCTATGTTAATTCCAAATTTTTTGTGTGGAAATTTCCTTAGGCACGAAGGTTAGGTGTTGAGAGAATCCCACTGCCACGCCATATCCTACCACTTGGCAACTGGCATTTTTCTACCCAGAGTGCAGAAACAATTTGGCTAGAGGTCTTGCAGGGACCAAGGAAATACAACACTGATAAAATGTAGCAAACTCTACTTTGTAGTCAGCTGCATTTGGACCCACCAGTCCCATTTTTTTGTTATGACTACCTTGTAAAACTCCAAGTCAACCAGAATTCTCACCTGGGAGTTAAAAAGAAGTGGTAGCCCAACTGACATGGCACAGTGGTTGTCGACCTAACTAGGAGGTCACAGTTCGATTCCCAGTGAGAGCACATCCCCAGTTGCAGCTCAGTCCCTACAGTGGGATGTGCAGGAGGTAGCTGATCAATGATTCTTTCTCATCATTGATGTTTCTTTCTTCTCCTTCTCCCTTCCTCTCTGAAATCAATCAAAATATGTTTGTTTGTTTGTTTTTTAAAAGAAGTGGTAGCTTTGGTCAAGGAAAAGACAGAAAATACCCAAATATGATCTTGGATCCTGGCTGGACCCTCACATTATTCAGACTAAGGATATATGCCCGATTTCAAAATCCAGGGTAGGAACAACTGAGTCATTTTACCTTTACTCTAACCAAAAAGACAGAAGCTCAGATAATTTTGTTAAAAATGTAGTAGTTGTCAGTCCTGTGGAACATTACTCTTCTGTTGTCCACAGAACACTGCCAATGTTTTTAATGCCCCCGAATGATCCCCGATTCACAGAGAGCAGCCGCCTGTGGCCTCAGCACAGTCCCCCACTTGCTGACTCGAACAGGCTCCCCCTGCCAGGCTGGGAAAGAAGATACTTATTACATTTCAGTTGCTTCTGTCTGTTAATTTTTCTGTATCCTTCACTTAAAAATAAAATCACAGCTAGCATCTTCTGGAGATCTATAAATCAACATTTGTTGACATACAAAAAGAGCAATTTTGTATGGTTTGACCAACACATAATTTGGAAAGAGGTTTTATTTTCTATCAAAATGACCTTTCTATCTTATAAGTAATCATAATTTGACTCCAGTTTTGTTTTTTGGTGTTTTTTCCTAGAGGTAAAACCAAAGCAAGATATTCTTTCACCCCTCCCACTTCCCCCAAGGCTGGTGGCAACACATGGTCTGTGTTTTAATGCCATCTAGTGGTATAGAGAGTATTTGGAATGAAAAACACAATCCTCAAAATCATTTCTTTGTTATTTTTTTAGGCAGGATTTTTTGTAACACTGTGGCCATATCTTTTTTTATTATTATTGTTTAAAGTATTACATGTAGTAGTACATATATCTCCTTTTTTCCCCCCAGTGACCTTCCCCCAGTCTCCCCTACATCCTATCACATGCCCTCAGCCCCACCCACCCACCCCCAGTGTCTTGGGTCCATTGGCCGTGCCTATATGTATGCATATCTTTAAAAAAAAAAAAAAAAGAAAAGAAAAAGAAAGAAAGGAAGGAAGGAAGGAAGGAAGGAAGGAAGGAAGGAAGGAAGGAAGGAAGGAAGGAAGGAAGGAAGGAAGGAAGGAAGAAGGAAGGAAGGAAGGAAGGAAGGAAGGAAGGAAGGAAGGAAAGAAGGAAGGAAGGAAGGAAGGAAGGAAGGAAGGAAGGAAGGAAGGAAGGAAGGAAGGAAGGAAGGAAGGAGGGAAGGAAGGAAGGAAGGAAAGAAAATAAATTTCTTAATATTTTCAATAAATTATTGTTATTCAAATATACATTTCTTTTAGGCTGTTATGTTCAATTGTTTAACTATTTAATGAAGCCCACATTTCCTGCTATTTTCGGTGAATGTTCAGAAGTACCTGAGATTAGCATGCATAAATAACATTTAAATCCTTTCCTGGGCTAGTACATGATCCATCTTTATGTTTAAGTTTTCCATAACACTATTATAATTTTTCCCATAGTGTATATTTCTCACCATTACCAGTGTATTTTTTACCTTGACTTATTACAGTTTTGCTTGGAGGGACAGAAGAGAAAGGAATTACCTTAAATTTTTAACCATTAAGCTATGTGAATGAAAGCCTTAGGGACTTTTTGATTAGCAAGTATTCGGAATGAAGAAAATTACTGGAGCATTGAAACTCTGACAATGGTTCCTCCTAAAGAGTTGAATTAAAGGGGAATGAGACCTGCCCCAAATTAGAAGCAAATACTATTTGGACCCCAACTCAGTGTCTTGGTCAAACTGATTCCAGTTCTCCCCTACAGCCTAGAGTAGCAGATGCCTCATTCTTTGGTTCTACAATACAAATGAGAGTATACAAGACCAAAATAGTGGCCCTGGCTGGTTTTGCTCAATGGTTAGAGTCTCTGCCTAGAGTCTCTGCCTGCAGACGAGAGGGTCATGGGTTTGATTTCTGGTCAAGGATACATACCTGGGTTGTAAGGTTTGATCCCTATCCTGGTTGGGGCAGAGGCAACCTATGGATGTGTCTCTCTCACATCGATGTTTCTCTCTCTCCCTACTCCCTCCCTCTATTCTACTCTCTGGGGAACCGGGGCGGGGGGTGGGGGTGGGGGTGTGAGGATTAACAACACCAAAAAAGATTAACACAATGCATTTGCAATGGAGATACCTAGAGTCAATCAACTAGTTATAAGATTTAAGATTTGTCTGGTATTTTTCTTTATATGTCTGCCAGTATTATATGTCATCATGTGGATGATAAGAGTAATATAAAATTTATAGACTATTATTTGTTCTACAACAAAAACAATGATCTAGTACTTGCACACATAGGGAATGATGTGTTTACAAGGTTATTTACTGCAGCAATGTTTGCAAAGGAAAATTTTAGGAACAACCTAAAAGCCAAGTATACCAGGGGACAGACAGCTCAATGTCTAGAGGAGGGACTGAGAGGGAAATGTCTTTATTAACCTTTTATTTTGACATATACATATGAGAGAACATATGAAGAGATTATCTAAAGTATAAATAATAATACCAAAAATCAACACTTTAAGAAATGGAACAGCCCCAATATTTTCAACACTCTGGAGTATTCCTCCCCAATTTCATCTCCCTGCATCCTCTCAGAAATAACAATAATTTTGAATTTGCCTTTGTTATTGAGAGGGAGACATTTTACTTTTTACCCTTTTCTGTTTAAGTTCTGCATCTTCTGAAGATATAAATCATACAAAAATAATTACATTAAATTTAAAACCAAAACAAAGTAATGCGATATAATATCTTTGTTAGGACAGAGTCAAAAGCCTTTATACCGAAAGCCAATTGTAGAATGTCTTTTATGACAATATTTTCTTTCAAATGAGCCCAGAACATGAATTACTTGCGGCACAATTTCTGTTTACCCAGCTGTCAAATGTAGTGCACTTAGTATAATTTATTAGAATAAAATTCTCAGATTCTGAGGTTAAAATTTTACCTAGAGAACGGATCAAGGAGTGCAATAATCTTTTTTAAAATGTTGTATTCGTGTATTTGATATTGCATCCTTAAAGCATAAATTAAGCCTGCTGATTTAGTGACGGTGGATTATTTATTAGATTTACTTCTGCATCATTCAAGATTTCATGCCAAATGAAAGACATCATGGTCCGATGTCAGCAGTGGGCTATTTGAATACGCTGTCCCAGGCAGCGTGACCTTTCCGTGCTGCGAGTTGTTTACATGTGATAATGAGCCAGGCTTTCCCAGTGACTGAGTTAATCGTGGTTGGCACCTTAGGAAGCACCGTTAACTCTTTCGGGGGACAGAGCTGAAGGTCACTGTCCCAGGGCATAAACAGTACCCCGCATAACTTCCACAAATTCATGCCAATTTCAAAAAACATCTCAGACACTTTTTAGAATTTCTTAGAAAGTATTTATTTATTTTTTTAAATATATTTTATTGATTTTGTACAGAGAGGAAAGGAGAGAGATAGAGAGTTAGAAACATCGATGAGAGAGAATCATCGATCAGCTGCCTCTTGCACACCCCCCACTGGGGATATGCCCACAACCAAGGCACATGCCCTTGACCGGAATCGAACCCGGGACCCTTCAGTCCCCAAGCCGACGCTCTATCCATTGAGCCAAACCGGTCTCAGCAAGAATTTCTTAGAAAGTATTTAGACTGACTTTTGTTTAGGTCAGTGCCAAATGGGAGCAGAGGGAGGGAACCTGAAAATAGTTCTGGAAACCTTGGAGCAATTATAAATTTACATTTACACAAGTACAATATTTATATAAATTAGACATATTATATTTGTATAAACTACATATATTTATATTACCATTTTATATTATCAGTGACAGACATTTGTAATTCCCTGTGCTCAGGCCAAATCATTAATCAAATGCAGAGGTTCTCAACCTTTCTAATGCCTCGACCCTTTAATTCAGTTCCTCATGTTGTGGTGACCCCCAAACATAAAATTATATTCTTAAGCCACCCTGCTAGCGGTTCTCAACCTGTAAATCGTGAACCAGGTTGAGAACCACTGCTATAGAGCCTAAGGCCACTGGAAAACACAGATATTTACATTATGATTCATAACAGTAGCAAAATTACAGTTATGAAGTAGCAACGAAAATAATTTTATGGTTGGGGATCACCACAACATGTGGAACTGTATTAAAGGGTTGAGGCATTAGAAAGGTTGAGAACCACTGATCAAATGGAATGTTGTTAAAATGAGCGAATCTTCACTGGATACTTTCCTTTGCCAGGCATTGTTCTTGGCACCTAACCTGTCATTCCATATCATCTTCACAACAACATTTTGAGATAGATATAACTATTCCAGTTTATAGATGAGGGCACTGAGCCCCAGGGAAATGCAACTTGTCTAAGTTCACACATTGGAAACAGAGGTTGTCTGAATTGTTATATAGTACCTGATAGCATATTTGTTATCTGTGTTTTAGATAATTTAACATTCTGGTTGTCACCGAGATTACCTATAATCTCACCTAATCTGAGTTTCACCCTAGAGAAAACTTGCCCATTCTAGGAGAAAGTAAGGAGCTCTTGTAACCTTCCTAAGTCTCACTTCTAGTTCTTTTCCACTTTCTAGTTTCACTGAATTAGAAAAAGGAAGGGCTGTCAGAGATAGCGGAACCCATTGGCCCTGCCTTTGGTGTATGGATATGTTGTGTCACGTATTAAGTATCTTCTGTGGGCCAGGTACTGTGCACATACATGGTGGTCTGATTTTATGTGAGACATGCCTCCCTGAATACCTTATAATTCATGATTCAAATAATCCTAACAAAGCAAATAATTTCTGTTTATTAGCTAGACTAGCCATGTAATAAAGGTGAAAAAAAAATTTTTTTTAATTTACTTAGTTGTTGACTTTCAAATGATGACATTCTTGATGAGTTTCTGAAGAGAATTTGAGGGTAATTTTTTTTTAATTTCACCTTTAAAGTGAGACTTTAATCATGCTTTCTATTACACGGTTTCAAATTTACATAGAAATGAAATCATGCTATTTGTGTATCGCTTGAGATTTATTGTGTTAGTGGCCGTGGAGACTGTTGGGACTGTCCCCCTGTTCACAGACCATGCGGAGAAGCAGAGGGAGAGTCCTTTTCGTCAGGCCTCTCTAGGTTTCACACAGATGCATGTAAACCTTACTGAGTAGGTGGAGATGCTTCAGTAGGATAATATGAAACCAAGTTGCAAGCAATATCAAGTTTTCATTTAACAAGCCATTTTTCTAAATTGGCAAACCATTTTAAATTGCATTAGAGATGGCCCTACTTCCAGAAGTTTAAAGAATCTTTGTTTTTTTCTTTTATCCTAGGTCTTGGCCAGCCTGCGAACTGTACGAAACAACTTTGCTGCATTAACTAATATGCAAGAGCGAGCACCCAGCAAGTAAGTTACCCTTTGTTTCCTGCCCTTCGTCCTGAACTTTCATGGTGTTTTTTCTCAGTTTCATTGACCTGGAGGCACTATATTAGATTTCTCTCTGAGTCCTCCCTTGCCTTGTTGTCCAGCCATTTACACTAAGTCATATGATGCCCTGTTAATTTTCTATAAATACTTGGTAGTGATGGTTCTAATGTCAGAACTGAAGCAATATGACAAATAAATATGACGAGTCCACCTGTCAGAAATCACCTGGCAAAATTAGTCCTCTGCCCAGTTATTTACACGCAGGGTAACTTTATAGTTTTGGCTTACTTCATAAATTAACCACAGACAAATCATCTCATCAAGCCTAATGTCAATCCAAAGTCATCCTCTTAACTCTAAATCAGTGATGACTTAGGGAAGCATCAGAGCATAGCAAACATCTTTGATTTTTCTGCCAACTGTTACCAACCCTCAGATCAACAGCATCATGGAGCAATTAATAAAATTGTAATTTCTATGATAACAGAGGAAGCATTTGAAAAAAGGGAAGCTGAGATAGGAAAAGATTACATAGGGGCGGTCTAATAACTTAAATATTTAAAGAGAAAATTAATTTTAAGATTAAATATAAAACTGATTAGTTATTCAAACGCTCAATATTTTGATAATCTATTATTAATAATAAATATTATTAAAATATCAACTCTAATCAATTGCCAGAATAAAAAACACAGTTCTTTAAATCAAAATTAAGAGAACAATAAGTAGAAATTTATTTGGAATTATAATTTAAGTGTATAAAATTTCATGGTAGCTACTACTTCTTAAAAAACACAAAAATCTGAACTTTTCATCCCATAATAATAAAACTGACCTCCCAAATTCACATTTTTCATAGTTGTTTTGTTTGTTTGTTTGTTTTTTAAAAGCTCTAGCTATTGTGCACCTATTTCCTTTGGTATAAAAAGGTTTCTTAAAAATCAGTATAAATGCCTTAATCTAAATAATTGCATAGAACTAAGAAGCTTCAGTTGACTGTCCTGTTTTCCAGGTAATGAATTTGCATAGCCCCGTTCCCTCAGCCTGAACATTTTTTTTTTTTCTTACTTTCTTCTTCCTGTCCTCACCCACTGGGCTAATTGTCATTCATTCTTTAGGTCACAGCTTCATTATAATTTCTTTTGGGGCATCATCCCTAAGAATCAACATTCACACACCCCTAAACTGAATGATATATCTTTCTGTTTCTGTGTGAGCGTGTCCTATACCAACTCCTGTGTTAGCTCAAATGTCTCTATGCTCAATTCATCTGTTTGCTTGTCTAAACTGAGTGATCTTGAGAAAGAATGCCAGTCCCCAGTAGCCTGGGTTGTAGCAGCTCAGACTTGTTTTCCCTGTGCCTGGCGTAGTGCTTGGTGCTGAGTCATCCCTCTGCACGAGCTCGTTGCCTGGAAGACCGAGGTGGTGATGCAGTATGGGGACCTGAGGGGACATGAGTGTGTGCTCGGAGGCATTTACTCATGGCCGCAGGTCTTCTGTGCCCCAGGGCCACACCCAGTCTGCTCACTCCACGGAACCCCTGGGGCTCTGGCATTTGGTATCTCAGTCACCTCCTGTTTGGAAAGTCTGAGTCCTGCAGGAGGGATGGACTACTGGTATCTCTCCCAGTCCTTTTCAGTCTTAAGTTTTATCCAGGAAATTGTTTTAAGTGGCAAACAAGAAACTTTATAACTTCTTTTACACTTCCTTCAGACATAGTCACTTGGGTACCAGCATCTAAACCTATGGGAGGCAAACAGTTGATCAGACAGAAGGAAGGCATCAGCCTGGCCTTCTGTATCCAAGGAGGGACCTGAGTTCCATTCTATGCAAGACACAAGTTTTTAATTGATTGACAGTGACAGAACAGGTTAAAACGGAAAAGAGCAGCCAGCAGAAGATCGAAAGTCATACAAATCTTATGCCTGATCTTGGCATACAGTATGCTACCCAGGACGACATCTAACCAAACAATATTATCGGATAGATTCTCTCTTTGGTCAATGCAGATTTGTATTTCTTTTATTGATTCAAACCAAATCAGCCTCTTTAGACATCAGAATAGTAAAATTCACTACACACAGCTAAGCTCTGTTCTTTTCAGTGATAGCAAAGTATATATCACTCTGCCTTGTCCCATAAGACCTGAGGCACTCACAGAGCCAAGCTTACCCTTGAATTCAGTGGAAGGAGGGCATCTAAGTACTCCACTGGCTGGTCTAAAGAGAAATCTTTATTTGCATGTCCTAACAAAAATAATCCCTTCCGTTAAAATGGCAGATCTGAAATGACTCAGAGAGTCACCAAGTCAACAAGCACCCCATATTGACTGTTTTGTATTTTTCTTTCTTTGTCAGAAGATCACCCATCTGCAACCAACCGTCCATCAACAAAGCCACCATAACAGGTAAGAAAGGTCTGGGAGCTTACTCTTCTCATGTCAAGGAAGAAATCATATTTCCCAAGATTCAACATCATATTAACACCAATTTTATACTGTAATTTTTGAATCTTAAAGAAATTAATCCTTTATTCTCTCCATACCATTTCTCTCATGGATCGCACAAACTGCCCATTGGACCTATTCCTTGAAAAATCTTTACTGAGGTACCATTTTTGGAATGCTTTAAATGTGTGTTTATACTAAATTTAGCATTGCTCTAGGCATATATATTTTGAGACTGGCTTTTCCTTCAAAATGTTGATATTGTTGTTGCCGGTTTTATTATGTTATCAGTGTGAGGTTAATATTTGGTAGCGTGGTCTAATGACAGTGAAAGCATAAATGAAAGGTACCTTCCTAGTTTATCATTATCCCAGTTGTGTATAGAAAGAACACCCTTCCAGTGGTCCCTGATTTGGAGCCAGGGAGTTGAGAATAAATTCAGCTTGGGAGGGGTGAGAAAAAGTAATTATACAATATAGAAAAGTTCAATGGAATCAACAGAACAGAAGTTGGGGAAGAAATGTGGAAAGAAGTATGAGGGACATAAAGGGTGGAAAAATAAAATTATCCCAATTCCTGTTAGTCTATTTTAGACATGAGACTTGATCTCAACTGAACCGAAACAGAACAAATGGTCTCATTCTGAACCTGAAATCAAATTGACTTCATTTAATCATTTCTTGAAACCCCAATTGATTCATTATTATAATTGACTGGGAAAGAAAACCTATGTTTTCTAAAATTATTACCAGAAGGAAATTAACATATTATCTAAAATATACCAATATTTCATTTGCTTCAAGTGTCTCCCTTGGACTCTAACTTATAATATGCTGAGGAGCAGCTTATTAAGTTATAGTGAGTAACTAGTCAGCACTTTTCAACCTGGCTTGTTAGTGATTTTTACATCAGAGTTGATTCTGCAACACTTATTAAAGCTGTTTTTTCCTGAACGTCTTTTCAAATGAGACTTGTGTTCAGTGAATATTAAATTATTGGTTATTTTTTCCATGTTTATTTCAAGATTTTTATTGGTGATGATTTTCAACTGTCATATCATAGTACACATCTGTTTCACCACTGTTGTTCTTGACATTGATCGAGAGATGGATAATAACTGAAATTCTTGTGTATTAAAGTTCTTTGAGTAACAGATTTCTTTTTCAAAAACCCAAATTAAATGTCAGTTAGCTTACGTTTGAACTAGGTCAGATATTTCTATAGTCCCACTGTCCCTAGGCCCCAGGCCAGGAGCTTGTGGGTACAAATTAGGCCATATTAGAACTAGACCCTTTGTTTCTATCCATTATCTATGTTAAAGGATGAACAGGCTAGGCTTGTGTGAGCATGTGCCTGGGGCCTCTAGTGAGAGACACCACGTAGAATCTTGTCCCAGTGCTGCTTCTGGGCACTAGTTCTGACCCCTATGAAGAGGGGCAAACCCTCCTCCCCACCCCTGTTGTTTTTGGACCAACATTGTGTTATAAGCAGAGTGCAGTGCTATTTTGGTGCCTGAAACCTTTTGTAGTTGAGGTCACACAGGAGCCAGCCCACTGGAGCATCCTCCCAGAGGAGCAGCTGTAGGTAGCATTGGAGACTGTTGTGCCCAACAAGAGATGGTGGGTGCTTAGTGGTCAAGTCAGCTGTCCACCCACCTTGGCAGTTGCTTGGCAGTGATTAAAGGGAGAGTGGCTACACTCCAAAGGGCACAGGCTTGGTTTTGAACACGTGTGCGAGACCTCATGGAATGTTTACATAGTATAGAGGCACAGGAGCAAGACCAGAGGGCATTGTGACTTATTAAAATTTAGTAACTGTGAGTTACTTTTTTCCCCATTGAGGTTATTCCATTTTACATGTGGTAAAGCCAGGAAAGTTTCTTGTATATCATTAGGGTTAAAGCATTTTAGTCCTGCAACAGTTTTGTGTGTTTTTTTCCCATGCACAACAGATAAATACATAACTGTAAAATGATTTCACAACGTTTTTACATTAAGGCTTCCAAATATAAATACATTCATAACAGAGTCTTATTACTAAACTAGAGGCCCAGTGTGCAAAATCGCATGAGACCCAGACCCGGCATGCCATGGGATGCAGCGTCAAGTCCCTCATGGTGACTGGTTCTTTGGTCATTACAGCGATGCGACCACTGGGTTTTTATTATACAGATAGCTATTTTGTTCTTTAGTATGATTTAGGACAAAGATGGTGTGTGCCATTTGGAGCTTGAATGTAAACCCTATCTTTCTCATTTGCTTTACCTGCTCATTTGAAGACTGGAGATATGAGTCCCTAAGTCTCCGTGCGATTGCAGGAGTTGGAGAGAAGTTAGATGAAGAATAGAGCTCAGCAGGCTCTGAGTAACTCACCAAGTGTTTCTTTGTTTCTTCCTACAACCCTACTCTGTGCCTGACTTCTTGTGTTCCTAACGTTAATTTAAAAACTGTTACAGTGGAGGAGGAGGACAAAAGCTGATGCTGTATCAGCTTTTCTGGTACATTTCATTTATGATTTTGTTTTCCATCAGTCACGGCAGGATGTTTAGGACTGCACCAGTCCTGAAGCAGTGAATATCAGAACTGAAGGGTGTGTTGAAACATGAGAGGAAAGCAGAGAATGAGAGATGTCAAAGCCATACCTGCATTGTGCTGTTTTGTTTGGAGAGTATAGTCATGTATTTTGGGGCACAATTAGTCATTTTGAGCATTTCATTTTTAAATAATGTTAACTTAAGAAAAGCTGCCTCATGAAACATTGTCATGTTTTCAAAATATCAATTTTCATGGTTGCTCATTTCCACATTTTCAATTGTTCTATTGAAGTTTTTGAAATTGAGAATTTTCATATATGAATGCAAGTCAGAAAACCTTTATTTAAACTTCTCTATTTTAAAGATGAGAATCCTGAGGCCTAGTGAGGGAAAATGTTATGTAGAGGCAGAGGTAGGAATACATATAGGATTCCTTTTTCTAAGTCCAAGGACCTTCTCACACCTCCACAAAGTCATCCATCAAATTAGGTTAGACTTCAGACCCACCATGGAAGTGTATGTTTTGGAGAAACTAAAAGAAACACTAAAGGTCACTAATTTCTGAGCACTAGATTGGGATTTTCTACATAGACTTGAAAATTAGAATATATTGTATCCCTTCTCACTAGACAGGTTTTTATATTTAGAGCTATTTTGATTTTGTCCATTGATTCTCACCTAGGGGTCCTCAAGTAAATAAAGATTTGAAGCCTACGGCAAGGACTTTTGGCAATTGACGTCAGAAAATAAAAGTTCACTCCAAGCCATTAAAATTAGTACAATTACATACTTTTTACCTGTAGAGGGAGACATGTGATGAAGGACAAACTTAAATCACCACAAAAGTAGTTTTAATCCAAAAAAAATTTTGGTGTGTGGCTCCTCTCTATATGTTCTTACCCTGAATATTCAAAACTCCTTAAAAGCGAATTCTAAATAGAATAAAGAGGAGTCATAAGGCAATTCCAATTCTGTGACTATAACTTTTTGAGGAATAACCATATTGTTTTCCATAGTGGCTGCACCAATCTGTATTTTCACCAACAGTGCACGAGGATTCCCTTTTCTCTAAATCCTCACCAACACTTGTTTGTTGATTTATTGTTGATAGCCATTCTGACAAGTGTGAGGTGGTATCTGTTATATTTTTTATTTGCATTTCTCTGATGATCAGTGATTTGAGCATCTTTTTATATGTCTGTTGGCTATCTGTATGTCCTCTTTGGAGAAGTGTCTGTTCAAGTTCCGTGCCCATTTTTACATTGGATTGTTTGTTGTTTTTGTCTTACTATGTGAGTTCTTTATAAATTTTAGATATTAACCCCTTATTTGATGTATCATTAGTGGATATGTTTTCCCATTCAGTGGATGTCTTTTCATTTTATTGATGGTTTCCTTTGCTGTGCAAAACTTTTCAATTTCACATAGTCCCATTTGTTTTTTTGTTTTCCTTTGATTCCCTTGCCTTAGAAAAATATATTGCTAAGAGAAATGGCAGAAATTAATTTAAGACACTTTTGGATGTTGACTGATAATTAACAAGGCAAATATATTTACCATTTTACACAGAATGTACATAATGACAAACATGTAAGGATTTCTCATATCTCAGCGGTCTGTTTACCTCTCTTCACCTAGATAAAAGTACTAATGCTCTGCTGGAGTGGCTCAGTGGTTGAGTGTAAACCTATGAACCAGGAGGTCATGGTCCAGTTCTAGTCAGGGCACATACCTGGGTTCAATCTCCAGTAGGGGGCATGCAGGAAGCAGCCAATCAATGATTCTCTCTCATCATCTCTCTCATGATGTTTCTATCTCTCTCTCACTCTCCCTTCCTCTCTGAAATTAATAAAAATATTTTTTAAAGAAAAAGATACTAATGAGACACTGCCTACTGCTATTTCAACATTAGGGTGCCACAGTAAAAAACTGATTGTATTTTTAAATAATAATATCCTTTAGATAGGGCTGTACTCGTCTGTTGATTATTGAGCCTATGACATGACTGCTCTATTATCCTCCAACTGATCAGAAAAACTGCCATAAAAATAGAGGATACAAATGTTACTAAAGTTCATGTTAGCCAGTATTCCTTCCCCATTACCCTGACTTAAAATAAGGGCCTATTTCCTAAACCTGCCTGATTAGGGATGATTGAAACATAGAAAGACAGATTTCCAGGCAACCCAGAAGAGAATCTTTGGGTAAGGATCAGAGTCTATATTATTAACAAGTTCTCCCAGGTAAACCATGATTGGCCAAATTAGGGAATATAAAAGAACATTGAATAAAGTAGATAAGAGTACTGCTGTGTACAGAATTGCCATTGAATTGCTGGTAATTTGTTGGAAAATCACTGTCTGTCTAGGATAAGCAAGATAATGTGTGTTCTGCAATTAGTGGAAGAAAATACAAGGTGATATTATTA